GAAATTCTAATATGTAACAATTGTTATAACAGGAGTTTCAACTCTACCTCTTAGGTCGAACAAAAATACCACTTCTCCTGGGTGTCTTCTTCCTTTCTTCAACAGCAATGTTGTAGGACAAGTAACAGAAAGACTTCACTCGGCTGTTGTCCAAACTAGGAATACTGACCTAATACCAGATATCAAGAATAAGCCAGACTTTATCTTGTTTCTATACTTACAACGTATGTCATCATAAATATAATTTGCTGCAATTTCTCATCATGCCTCATGTACTACTGATAACATTACATACAGTAAGTGATGTTACACCTTTAAAACACTTATTCATATATATATATGCAAAGAGTTACGTTTACTTTGGATTAGTGCAAAATGAGGTGAACTTATTCTGAAGTTCTTAAACTTAAACAAATAGTACAAATATTCCTTCTGGTCTCATAACCACACAAAACTCAAGCAGTCGCACATGCATTTTTTTAAAGACATTCTTACACAGCTTAGTCCAAATATGAAAATATTACAAAATATATTGGCAAGAATTGCTTATTAAATTCATCATAATAGTTGATTTCTATAACTTATAACTACTGAGTAAAAAACCTGTCTTACATTATCCATCAGACCCTTTAACTTTATAGCTTCTGCACAGAAATGGGCAATAGCTAAGCCTCCAACAGGAGAAGACCTAGTTCGCTCAACCTGAACTTTTCCATCAATAATTAATGTCACTACTGTGTTGGATGCCCCGCTGTCTATCACTAAGCAAGTGTCAAGGTCAACTAGGTATGCTGCAGAGAGAGCCTTGTTAAGGAAACATATCCTAGATAACACATGAAATACAAAAGGAAACATATATATATATTGGTTTATTTCTATATAAAATACACACAAATTCTATAGTCAAGTTGATTTAATAATGACAAAGAAAAATGTAAATCTTGTTCAAGAAAAATTCCTTATTGAATGTATATATTGATTTAGAGAAAAAGGCTTGTCCTGAAAAAGGAAAATAAGCATGCTTTAATTTCAAATTCAAGTTAGTGTTATTAATAAAAATTGCACCAAAACAAAGAAATCAAGACCCAGAAATTTGCTTTTCATTTTTTGGTTCCAAAAAGAAAAATATTTCCACATGATTTTTAAGACTAGTTAAAGAAAAAACAGTGACACACAAACACAACACATAATGAATTTCATTTTCATATAATCAAAAGTAACTGCAGTAAAATAAAAGTAGCCCACATAAAGCAGGTTCAGTACATCATAGTAAAAATTGTTTTGAATATGCAAATCAGCAGGTGACATGACAACCACAGTTGATATAAAGTTGTAGTGGAATGGCAACTTCAGAACTACATTGTAACATTGGAATTTCACAAGTAGTGTAATTCCATGGAAAACTCTGGGAAAGGATATGTAACAGTACTTTCAGATGCAAAAAATTAACACACTCAGATCATAAAGTGTTCATATTGTGGATTTAGAATTTCCAAAACAAGGATATACCTTGTACTTAATAGTAATAGAAAACAAAGGAATATGGATCAACTTGGGACACCAGGGTCATCCAGAAAGAGACCCACAATAAGTTGTGTCCCAGCCCTGGAAGGCAACATGTAGAGTCTTGTAACAGATGAGAATCCACAAACACAAAGGTTAGTGGCAAAAGCTGTTCACATGCCCTAAACAACAATACACAACATAATCAAGAAGGAACTTAATCTGGAAGAGCAACACAAGTCACGTACACAAATTGCTTCAATGAAATATCTGTTTAACCCGATGACTACTGGTACTAACTTTCTTAGTAGGCAATGCAAATGTGCATTTGTGAATTGAAAAAAATGAT